CTGGTAAAATCCGGATGTTACAACTAAGCATCCCACATCGGCTGGGAAGGAGAATTAAGCATTCCTTATAAGGGGTGTGGATACCTTCCCTATCACAACGCGTTTTAAAGCCGTGAAGGCAGCAGATCCCATAAGAACTCTGCAGTTAAGCATGCTCGGGCGGGAGTAGTACCGGGATGGGTGACCCCCTGGGAAGTCCTCGTGCCGAGTGGCCCAAAGCTGACAATATTGTGATACGTGCCAGAGGGGGGTGTTACAAATGGTATCAGAGCTAGGGCACGGGTCGATGTGTTCGACAGGGACGTCGAACCCTATAATGGGGGGTGAAAGTGGGTTAGATCTGATCCCACATCGGCTGGGAAGGAGAACTAAGCATTCCTTATAAGGGGTGTGGATACCTTCCCTATCACAACGCGTTTTAAAGCCGTGAGGGCAGCAGATCCCATAAGAACTCTGCAGTTAAGCGTGCTCGGGCGGGAGTACTACCGGGATGGGTGACCCCCTGGGAAGTCCTCGTGCCGAGTGGCCCAAAGCGGATAATATTGTGATACGTACCAGAGGGGGGTGTTACATTTTAACTGTTTAAATTACACCAATATTACCGGCTAATACCCGTTTTAACCGGTAACTCAAAAGGAAAATGATTTAGGAGGGTAACTACATCTTATCCGTGTTCACATATTGACAACTTCTTATTTTTTGTACATAAGAAAGCAACTAACTTGTTTTAACTGTGTAACATCCCAAAAATCATGACCAAAAATTTCGTTTTTAATTTAATACTAAAACCATAATTATCAAACCATTAATTTAATACTTCGACATTGGGCCTCGCCCGACATCAGGCCCCGCCTGGCATCGAGCCCCGCTTGGTATACAGATCTGTCTCTCCTAGGACCCACCTGTCTCCGGGCCCCGCCCGCTAAACATATACAATCATATAACATGCTAACACATAAAGAAACATACTCTCTTGTATCCCTGTCCTAAGAAACATAATCTACTAATAATGAGATACGAAACTTCATCCGTACTCAGCTAGTTCCAGCCAGGGCTTCAGCAGTGCAAAGTGAGTCTCCTCACTATGTGAGTGGGTCTAAGGCCACAATGCCAACCCATATAGTCTATGAGTAGGAAGACTCGGAGGTTAGCCTTAGGCATTGTATGCTAGTATGTTATTCCAGACCAAGGTCTGATGTCGGGCGGGTGCCCGAGGAATGTTTGCATGTTAGATTATACTTGTTGTATGTATGATACTTGTATGTGTCTGGTAAAGAGGTGAGTGTGGGTGAGGTCATGTATCCCGTCGCTAGCTGAGTACGAACGATGTTCTGTATCTCATTATTAGCAGAGTATGTTTCTTAGGACAGGGATACAATAGAGTATGTTTCTTTATGTGTTAGCATGTTAAATGATTGTATGTGTTTAGCAGGCGGGCCTAAGAGAGACAGATCTGTATATCGAGCGGGGCTCAAAGCCAGGCGGGGTCTGATGTCGGGTGGGGTCCGATGCCGAAGTCATTTTCCCGTTATATTGCTCTTGAAATTATTTTGATAGAAAGCTTTCCTAATTTGGGTACTTCCAGATATGTTTAACTTTATTGGATTCTTTCCCTAATTTGATTGGAAGTGGATATACAGATATTTTTGAGGTCGAGTATCTGAGTGTTTACGTAAGAGTATTTGTGGGTTCTTTTTGGTTGACCTCTAAAACACAACTGTGTCCAAAACTCGTGTTTTATGCCATCTCAATGCAAATATTGTGAATTACACATTTCTTGTTTTTTGTTTTTTTATCATAAAGTTATGCATGTTTCCTGAAGCATCTCTGCTAGCCTTATTGAAAATATCGTTTGATTTCGATAATATCAATGGGAAAGCTCATAGCTCTTGATATTTACTTCATTTCATTTAATCCAGGTGCTCAACTTATGTTCTATCTAAACAAATGCACCCATCAATGTCATCTTCATCATTATCTTCTGTTTTGGCTCCGGTTTTTTCTTGTGAATAGTGGAAACATGATGTTTTTCTCAGTTTTAAAGGAAATGATATTCACAAGACTTTTGTGGATCATTTCTACCCAGCTATTGTACAATAAGGAATCTACACTTACGAGGATGAAAATACATTTTCTTAAGGTGAACTGATCAGTCTATCCCTCATGAAGGCTATTCCGAAGAATCACATATTGTCGTCATCGTATTCTCTAAAAACTATGTAGATTCATTGCGGTATTTGGATGAACGTGTATATATTATGAAGTGCAAGGATACAAGTGGCCAGATTGTTATCCCCATCTTTTAAATTGTCATCCCAATATTCTTCATAGTTGCTTCCAGAATTTCAAACCGTTTCTATAAAAGGTTAATCAACGTTTGGAGAATGGTTTCAACATTAGTGCTTTTCATTATATTTGACTGGATTTTTTTTCTTTTTTGTTGTGAGGATTTCGGAAGTAGCCTTACTCTAATTTATAGTGATCTCAATTTTTGGGTAGGTTAGAGAAGTACAAATAGAATTTAATTCACATTTATATCTATTCCACTCCACGACTTTTTAAAAGACTTTCAGGTGGTTGATAAACTTTAATGAGGCGAGTGTAAGGTTTCTAGGGTGGCGTTTGTTTAATGATTCCGAAAAAAAAGATATAAAGTTTTATATATGTTATTTATGTTGTTGATATTAAATAATGAAGGCATATTAAAGCAGGCTTTTTTTTTTTTTTTTTTGTTTACTTCTATGTTATTAAACAATAAAGTTTGTTATTTTTAATTATCATGTAAGTTTTATTTTTGTTATATTTTGATGTTATTTTTAAGTTTTATCTAATTTCAATTTTAAGTATATAAGAAAACTTCAATAAGTAATTTACTATGTGTTTATATCTTCTAATCAATAATTCCAATTTAATGGTGTCGGTTATGATATATTGAAGTGTTGGCAGATTATTAGGATCATGTTGATGACTGTGTTTTTAAACTTTGGTGGCAACACTATGACTATTAAATATGTAAGAGTTTTTTATCATAATAGGGTGGGTGGAAAAAATATTTATCATTTTAGTATTCTTTTAAAACTATTTACCTTTAATGTTTTTCTTCTTTTTCTTTTATTTTTTAGTTTCCTTTTCAGTTTTTTTTTTTTTAAATTTAAATATCTTATTTTTCTTTTTTCCTTTTTTATTCCGCCTTTTTATTGTTTTTCTTATTTTCTTTACCTTTTAGTTTCTTTTCAGTTTTTTTTTTTAATTTAAATATCTTATTTTTTTCTTTTTTATTCCACCTTTTTATTATATATATATAAATATGACAATTTTCATTTTAGTTTTTTTTTATCCTTTTTTTACTGTTTTTTTAAATATATGTTTTTTTATTTGTTTTTTTTTCTGTTTTATTTAAATATCTGATTTTCTTATACAACCTTTTTACCATCAAATTTTAACCTCAACATTAAAAAATCATCAAAAACCATCACTATAATCAAATTTTAAGGTGCAAAAATTCCAACATTCACATACAATGTTTTTAAAGTAAAAAAAAATCTCAACATTGTTTCTTACAAAAAAAAACATCACAAAAAAAATCCCAATATTGTTTATTACAAAAAGAAAAACATCACAATTAACTTCATCTTTAACCGGTAAAAAATTATTACCTGTAAAAAAAATAATAATAACAAGAGAATAACTATAACAAATACCATAAAAATATTATTTTTTAAAATTACCTTGGCATAGACGGACATCGTTTTCGATTATGTCCCATTAAATCCACGTGCTCGAGAATGGTTGGAGAGTCATCCACTTAATAGATGTCCGTCTATGCCAAAGTAATTTAAAAAATAATATATATTTTTTTACAGATAATGATTTTTTACCGGTTCAAGATGAAACTAATTGTGATGTTTTCCTTTTTGTAATAAACGATGTTGGATTTTTTTTGTGGTGACATTCACATACAATGTTTTTTAGTAAGAAACAATGTTGAGATTTTTTTTTCTCTTTAAAAACATTGTATGTGAATATTAGAATTTTTGCACCTTAAAATTTGATTATAGTGGTGGTTTTTGATGATTTTTTAATGTTGAGGCTAAAATTTGATGGTAAAAAGGTTGTATAAGAAAATCGGATATTTAAATAAAACAGAAAAAATTAAATAAAAAAAACATATATTTAAAAAACAGTAAAAAATGATAAAAAAAACTAAAATGAAAGTTGTCATTTATATATATATTATAAAAAGGTGGAATAAAAAAGAAAAAGAAATAAAATATTAAATTTTTTTAAAAAAAAAACTGAAAAGAAACTAAAAAGTAAAGAAAAATAAGAAAAACAATAAAAAGTGAAATAAAAAAGAGAAAAAGAAAAATAAGATATTTAAATTAGAAAAATTGAAAAGGAAACTAAAAAATAAAGAAAAAAAAGAAAAACACTAAAATGATAAATAGTTTTGAAAAAATATTAAAATAATAAATATTTTTTCTATCCATCTTATTATGATCAAAAACTCTACATAAAAGCACTTCAAAAATCTTATTTTATTTTCTATATTACTGTACTTTTTAACTTTTGTCTTATTACAGGATGGTCCTATATTTAAATTTGGAATTAAGTTAGTTTCGTACCTGGACTTTAAATTACAGTTATAGCCCCTCTACATAAATCAATTTGACAACGAATGCACATCGAAGAAAGGAAAAAAAAACAAAAGAACCCGTCAATTGAACCAAGAAAGAAAAACTATATCAAAAAAATTATTTCAATGCTATTGAGTATAGTGACGATAAAGTAAATAAGTTTGAAGTGGATATGACTTACGAAATTTGTAATAAACAAGAAATTAATAAAAGAAAAAATTGACATTCATTAAAATATGATATATTATAACAAATACTATCAACTTCAAAAATACTAAACTCAAACAACAAAATCAACATCCTCTTTCAAAAAAAACACTAGAATCAAGAAGATAATAAAAACATTCTTCATAATTTTACATATCAAGCTGCATTTAAGTTATTTTCCTTCTCAAATAATTTTGCTTCAGAAATAAGCATCTCTTTTTGAATATTGTGCTCCGATAACATAAGATTTACCATGGACTTCATCCTCAAAATCTTCAATGAAGTTATCAATGTACTTGGATTATAATCAAGCTCGCAATCCCAACAATAGACCGACTGTCCAATGAATGTCTCCATGTGACGCATCAGATCCAAACCACAATCATAGTCTCTTTCATGCCTTTTCCAATTGAAATTAACAACCACATATGCTAGATTTTTCAAATCATTTTCTTTTTCATGACCAATAGAAAATAAGTAGAGGCAGAAGAAGTAATGTTGCATACAACAAATAAACAATTTTAATTATTAAATTATTTATATATTATATATAAATCAATAACTTACTATTATAAAAATATAATAAATTAAAGTACTTCATACACTACCACTATTCTAGGTATATTTTCATAGGTCGTTTCCACATCTCCATTATTATAAATATGGTCTATGATCATCCAAGCAGGTTTTATCAAATCAAAACATATTAAATAATATTTTGCCCCATTAACAATAGGAAAAAAAACCTGCAAGTATAAACATAAAAAATATAAAATGTATCAAATGTTATTAGCTTTATATATAATGAAACATGATATTTACCAAATCCATGTCAGTAAATGGATATTTCTCATAGAATCTTAAATTGAATTCTTGAACTATCGATCAAAACTTATCAAATATGTATAGATATGATATGGTTTCATCAAGAATATAATTTGTCTGTATTATGATTGGATATATGAAAAAGTTAGTATATATTAATTTTAAATAAAAATAATATTTTAACTAACTAATATTTTTGTATTAAAGAATACTCTGGATGGTGCCATAAGTGAGTTGGGTGTGTCAATAATGTTAAGGAAAGATTACCAACAATCAATAACATTACAACTAATAGGCTTGTTTGGTGCAAAACAATATGCATCTTCAACAACCATAAGTTGTGCATTTTTTAACTCCCATATGGTTTCACTGTACAAATATCAAAGATAAATATCAGATGATATTAAAAAAAATTCTGATAATATTATAAAATTTGCATTACTGAAGATTTCTATCTTAACATAATATGGACTTGAAAATATCAATTTACATATCAGTAATGTTGTTTCTAATTGAAACTATGCTATTCATATACGGAGAACAAAAAATAGAAGTTGAACTGCAAATATCAACTACTGTTCCTATAGAATTTTCATCCATGAATTGGATTTTCTTTTTGGTACTGATGTATATGATTTCATCTATTTCCTTTAATACTCTTGAGCTAAAGAAACTATCTGAAGGTGAAAATTCAATTGCAGATAATTTTCACTTTTTCCTGAAGGTTTGGGTGTGATGATGTGATTATAATCACATAATTGATCATCTTCACCTGCATCAATCAATTTATAAGAATAATTCAATAAAAAAAATGAAAATATTAGAGTTTACTATAGTATATGCATTAATTTGTTATTTACAAATGGACAATTTATAGATAATGATGTGCACACATCCAACAATTTGTTAATCATATGAACTCAAATGACCGATTACTAAAGACATACCATCAAATCCTTGGACAGCAGCATCCCAGTGCATAGATATCGAAGAGTGTCCACTATCCATCGATAATAAATATCAGAATCTAAGAAGATACAAGAGTTAAACAACCGTTAATGAAAGCCTAAGAACATTTACTAGAATACAGAATCGAAGAATGATAAACGACAACTTTCACAAAATACACAAAATAAAATAATCAAATAGCATACTAGTTGAGAATTAGATATCATACTATAAACATTGTCTTCTTGTTGATAATGTTTTATGGAACATTGTTTTCCAACAACAAGCTAACCACAACATGAGCATTGTGATCCAAAAAACAATATAAAAAGAATAAGTTGACCTTAACGTCATAATGATACAATAAGTTCTATTTATAAATTTTAATAAAAAAAATTATCAAGAACTCTTTGTGGGACAAGGCATACAAACCTAAGATATCACTATCTGGTACAATTAACAATTTGTCTCCTTGCTAAGTATAAGTATAATCAGGTAAAAAAGTGCATATCAAACTCCATAAATTAATCACAAATTGCTTAACTTCATGACATCTTTCTGATCCAAATTCTTAATTGGTTTCTTCAGCTTGAACAAAAAGTCTGCTTTTGTTGAATCTCTAATAAGCTCCATACTAACAGAACTATTTATCTTACCCTATAGAAATTGGGATTTCCATAAATGCCAAATTGGATAAGAAAGAGGGCAACGTATTACAGTTTTCATTTCACAATCTTACTTTTGTAAACCAATTTTGATAAAGAACTGAGACTCGATTAAGTTATCGGTTAACAAAATTCAGCTTTAACAAATTGTCCGCTTTTGTTGCTAGTAAATTATCGATTAAGAACTGAGAATCGACTAACAACAAAGAACTGAGAATCGATTAAGAGTAGATGAATAAAATACCTTTAAGAAGTTATTGATGGTTCATCAATGCCGAAACACCTATGCAAAAGAGAGGTGGTCCGGTAAACGTCGGGATGGGGGGATACAATGCCGCGGGGGTCGTCTGGAGAAGGATAGATGGAGAAATAACCAATCCCCGCAAAAATCATAACCGATCCCGCTCAATTCTCTATCAGCTCATAAATTGGGTGGGTATATCTTCTGGTGTTTGCCACCTATTGACCTCAATAGACGATTACACATGTAACACACAACCGATACCCCGAAAAATCATAACCGATCCCGCCTCTTAATGTAAATCGTCCAGTATAATGTTCTAGGGTTTACCGCCTCTAACCATCTATTTACATAGATACCCTTTTAATCCATTATTTATAATTCAATTAATTAATTACATGTGTCAAATGCTAATTGGTACTCACTTGATGCCCTAATTTTTTATTTTCCAAAGAACCTATATATATATATATATATATATATATATATATATATATATATATATATATATATATATATATATATATAGGATATAGATCCGGTAAGAAATTTTTTTTGATAGGAAGGTAAGAAGTTTTTTTTCTACATATTTTTTTGACGAACAAAATAAATGAATCACTAGATGATTCATTTGTAAGATGATTCACAAGAAAAAATTCCCAAAAAAACATCTTTATGATTCATTTTTAAGTAAATTACGAAAAAATTCATTTTTATAACAATTTTAGTGAATAACAACAAAATCATTGTATAAATGAATCGTCGAGATGTTTTTTTGAGAATTTTTTCTTGTGAATCATCTTACAAATGAATCATCTAATGATTCATTTTGTTTGTTCGCGAAAAAAATATGTAGAAAAAAACTTCTTACCTTCCTACCAAAAATTTCCTTCTTATTTATATATATATATATATATATATATATATATATATATATATATACATATATATATATATATATATATATATATATATATATATATATATATATATATATATATATATATATATATATATATATATATATATATATATATATATATATATATACCTCTTTTGTTTGAATGTGAACACTTTATTTTATAGAACATGAAACAAATTACCTCCATTTGTCAATGTGAGCATATGTTTATTATCCTTGTATATCTAATATATAGGCATGGATGCATCAAAGAAATTGAGTAATTTCAACTTATAACCGTAAATTATGGACGATTTCACTATGGTGTTCATAGTGGCACCGGCAACCCTTGTTTTTTTCGGATACAGTGTAAAAGTTTTCGAAGTTTTCGTTTATTCCATATTTGTGCCATTACGTAAAAGGAAAAATATGTCATCGGCAACACCTACTATGAAATCCTGGGTCCGTCCTTGCCGTAAATTAACATCCATTGAAGGCATTTTAGACGATTCAAGCAAGTATGATTTAGAAAAGTTGTAAGAAAAAAAAACCTTCAAACATTTCGAAACGAAAATAAATTGAAGTAAACAGAGTTAAAGCAGGATGATGCTTAATAATTAATAGGTTTCACTAAAGAATTGTGTTGCTTGTTCTTAATGATGTGGATCATATTAAACATCACATAATTGGTTTGATGAATGAAGCCGGATAATAACCAAAACTAGAGATAATCATATCTTAAATGCTTACAAAGTAGACGTGATATGCATTGTTAGTTTATTAGATGATGAGGCTATTGAGCTCTTTTGCAAACGGATTATTAGCTGCTTTCAAAATACATGATGTGGATGCGACAAAGGAACTTGACATAATTGAAGCAATAATAATTTGTTGCAACATGCAATAGGGATGATCCATCACAACGATTGCCTCAAATTGTTGCAACATAACTTTGTTGTATTACATAACTTTGTTAGTTTGTTATATTGCAAACATGAAGAACCTTTGTTGTATTATATAACTCTCGGAGGGTTATTTAGTAATTCTTGTTGTTTTTCTACAAAGTGGGTGATAATTGTCGACTTGACTTAAAAAAAAATATATTATAAGTAGTTATATCTTATATGAATGGGAGTACATATGTATGTCACTCTAGCTATTGCTGTCGTGAAGCAACTTGGTTGTGTTAAATAACTTTGTTGCATTGCAAACATGAAGAACCTTTGTTATATTACATAACTTTGGGAGGATTATTTAGTCATTCTTCTTGTTTATCTACAAAGTGGATGATGAATTTGTTAGTCTATATTATTAGTCCGCTTGTTAATGAGTTTTTTTTGTCTTTAGTCCATTAGGGTTTCTGTCTAGCTAGTATTTATATCCGTTTTATTCCTTGTAGTCTTTATGCTTTTTTCTGAGAACCCTTGTAATTTCTCTTTGATATAATCATATGAGAATGTTATCATGGTATCAGAGATTGGTTTCGATCCAGTGTGGGGGATGTTAGTCTATATTATTAACCCGTTTGTTTATGGGCTCATTTTGTCTTTAGCCCATTAGGGTTTCTGTCTAGCTAGTATTTATATCCGATTTATTCCTTGTAGTCTTTATGTTTTTCTCTGAGAACCCTTGTAATTTCTTTTTGATATAATCATATGACAATGTTATCAGAATTGTCCACCTAGTGATTTAGAAAATATATTATAAGTAGTTATATGAATGGGAGTACATGTATATGTGAGTCTAGCTATTACCTATTGTTGTCGTGAAGGAACTTAGTTGCATTACATAACTTTGTTGTATTGCAAACATGAAGAACCTTTGTTGTATTGCATAAATATGGGAGGGTTATTTAGTCATTCTTGTTGTTTATCTACAAAGTGGATGATGAATTGTCGACCTGATTTAGAAAGTATACTATAAG